TCCCTCAGTTCAAAATCGATACCCAATACCGCACTGATACTGTTAACCATACAATTTGCTATTGTCTTGGGTTTATTTGTTTGCTAATTTTATTACATTCTTGAAAGTAAGCACCCAGTCCTGCAAGTTCTATTCCTCCAAGCCTAACTGCTGAGTGCACTCATAAGTAGAACAGAGTTTAAACAATGCAGACATTTTACCTCAAAAAATCATCTAGTCCTAACCCTGTATTTTACAAAATAAGAGGAAAATTCTAGTTGAATAATTATGAACTAGTAACCTTGATAACACTAACTGTAATTTAAAGGATAGCTCCAATTTATTCCTTAACTGGCTGTGTGGGAAAAACTTTTCATCCATTATCTCATTTACTCGTCAGAAGAAGCTGGTAAGATGGATATTATTTTATTCCCCCATTTTCAGATAAGGAAACTGAGGCTCTCCTTGGATGAGTTAAGTGACTGGCCCAAAGTCATAGTAAGTTTCAGATATAGATTCGTGTCCTCTTAACTGGGGCCAAAGGTAATTTGTGGATGGCTGATGTCAAAACTAATGAACAAAAACTATAAACAGCCTCAAAAATTTCTTTCTTTTTTTTTTAATATTTTATTTATTTATTTGACAAAGATCACAAGTAGGCAGAGAGGCAAGCAAAGCGAGAGAGGGGGAAGCAAGCTCCCCGCGGGGCAGAGAGCCCAATGTGGGGCCCGATCCCAGGACCCTGGGATCATGACCTGAGCCGAAGGCAGAGGCTTTAACCCACTGAGCCACCCAGGAGCCCAGCCTCAAAAATTTCTGAAAGAAATCTACCACCTCCAAAAGCCTTGGTTAATTTTTTTTTTTAACATAATACAACACTTTACATGACTAAAATACTCTAAGAAATTATGGCAACTGGTCTTCCCAATTCCTTCCCCCTCTTCCAACATCCTTAAATAGAGTAACAAGTATTACAACCCCCAAAAAAGAAATTATTCTTTAACACTTGAAATTCCTGGGACTAGGAAGGTGTTAATTACCATCCAGAAACCCAATGCATAATAAAGCTCAAAATTGTAGACATTTTTAAAACCAAACCCCTTAGTGCTCAAAAATCAACCTATATTCTTCTACTATTACAGACAGGAACGCAATGCCTTGGTTTCCACAGCCATCATTCCACTTCATCTCTGCAACCAAGAACTCTGGTCATTGTAGCTTCTTGTCCTCTCTGAGCAGTGGGTTTCTAAGGTCTCAAAGACATTTACTCTTCAGATAGGTAAAAAATGAAAAAAAGGGATCAATCCTAAAATGTTTACAGTCATGAGAAGGGAAGACCATCTGCTCTGAGAGAGCTCTGGGCTGATTTTCCCGGCAGGGGAGCCCAGTTTTTACAAACCTTATTCTCATTAGAAAAGGTAGAAAAATAGCTGGGAATTACTACAAAGGATTTTCAGGCCGCGGAGCCGACTAAAACAATGTAGTTTAGAATTATATTTAGGTTTCTGGTAGTTGGATAGTCAGTGCAAGCAGGACATTTGGTTTGTTTTTACAGGAAGAGAGAATGTTACAATACCTTCTGGTTTTGAAATTTATTAGATGCTGTGCCTCCCACTATTTACTCTCACACGCTCAAATTTTAAGTACAGTCTTTATGAACCTATTTATTCTGGATCAGCAAAGCTTCTGATGGAAAATGACAGCTCATCTAGAATAAATCTTCATCATCCTTTTGTGGGGAAATGCTGGAGGATTTGAAAAGCAATCCTCTGTACTCTCCTGTGTTCTTTCCTTGTGTACCTCCCGTCTCCCCACATCGTGTCCCTGATGCTTCCATATCAAATTGATTTTTATTTAACAGAGGCCTTTACCAGCTCCACAAATAACTGCTCTGCGGTCTTTGAACTATTATTCCTATTGCCCGTTTTGCTTCATTCTTTGTTCATTTACTGTGTTCCAGCATTCATACTGGGGGACAGACAGGTGAGCACATTCTCAAAGTGAAAGCCTAGTTAGAAATTCCCAGTGGACAAGCTTAGCCAATCAGAGGCACATTACTTACCTTTGATTTCTTCCTAACCCTTTACTCTTATTCAAATAAAAGAGATTTAAAAGCTTGTTTTCCTATATTTAAAGCACAAAAGGCTTTCTAAGACTAAGGGAAAAAAAAAAAAAATCCAGGCTACAGAAAAAAAAAAAAAAGCCAATTCCTTGAGCAGACAATGAGCCCCTTATGTCTGGTCCATATTTTCCCCATAGCTTTAATGTAATTCTGTTCTAAAAATTAACTTCCACTGAAGACAGTGATAGAAGACTGCCTAATAATAATGCTTTGCAAGTAATGAGGAATGATGTCATTGGTGGAGGGATTTTAGGATTGAGAAATGCCATTCAAAAATCTCAGACTAAAAGGTAAAGTGATGTTATAAATAGCCTTGAGGGAAAAGAAAAATAATTGCTTAATTTGATTAAGAGAACATTTCATATATTCTCATTTAAATAGATGAGAAAATCTAGAGCCACGAAGGCTCTGTGTTAAGGGGCTAACAAGAGCTGGTTGATGGCAAAGCTCACTGTACAACCCAGTCCAGTTTATTCTCCCATCACTCCATATTGCTACGGGGAAACGAAACATTTCTACCTGATCACACTTCTTTTGAGATTACACAACACTGACTCAGAACAAAATCAATGTCCTCAGAAGATCTGGCAGCTGGTTTACCATAAATTGTTTCTGACCCCCACAACACGGGCACCTATAATTTGCAAGAGTTCTTTACTACAGTGCGGGTTATTGAATTGAAAATGATACAGTGCAGATTCTAAAGCAACGTGCTTCTAATGAAAGGTCACCGGCTACACAGATGCACATTTCCATTTGCTATTTATTGTCCAAGTAACATATCCACACAGCTAACAGTGGCTTCCCCATCACTTCGCAATTTAGAAAAGATTTTTAGGCCCTTCTAAAATTTCTAGGACTTCAGTGTTTTGGGGAGAAAAGGAGCAGACCTTTAAAACCTGCTTGGTAACAGGGCTGAACCTATTCACATGCACATGAAAGCACTAGATAACTTCTCTACAGGAGCTTAATGACTTAAAGTCTTTCTGAAAACAAAACAAAACAAAAACAAAACAAAACAAAACAAAACAAAAAAATATGATCCTTGCTCAAAACAAAACAAAAAGACCCTCACTACCATTAAAAGAAAATCCGCTAACTCACAATGTAATTTACACTGCATGGCAAGGCACAGTATTTCTGAAAATGCCAAGGAAGAATGAAATGAATACATGAAAAACAAAGAGGAACCAAAGCATATGCTAAGTGGAGTCCTTAGAACACCACTGACCAGGAAGTTTGGGCTGTGCACAGTGTGATGCTTCAGGGCCTCATTAGTTAAATCTCTTCGGTCTGGCCCAAGAAAGACCCAGTCTACAGAGATCTATGTTCTACTCCAGCAAAATTCACATCTTACATGATGCAACCGTCCAGGTTCTTCAAAGCTGGTTTATTTCTACCCCTCACACACCAAGAAGACTTCCATGACTTCATCACAAGAATTATGAGCCTAAAATGAATTGTCTGGAGGAGCTTGGGGAGTGGTTACCCTAGGCCCTTAATACGTGTAACAAAGGGTTATGACATCTGGAGTCCACTTCCAAATATTCACCATGGGCGGTGTAATTTTAGGTATGGGTTAAAATCATCCCCTATACACAGTCAGTGGCCCTGACCACGATTTACTTCCCTCAGAGTGGTCAGCTAGGCTTAGATAAGAGGTATCACCATTTTAGTCAACACTGGAGAGTTTACGAAATGGCATCATGTAAGAGGTTTTCATTGCTGATGGGCATAATGGATGGTACACACAGGTTGTCACTATTGAAACTCATGATATTCAAGGTAAGTGGGCAAAATCCATCTAGAATGAAGAAATCCATTCTTCACCCTTGCACGGGCAGGGCTTACGAATGTAGGGAAGCCTATAACTTGTACCCACACGACTGACACAGGAGGACCAAATGCACAATGGCCTCCTGTCCAAGAGGTGACTTAGAGGAGTTCTGTTGCTTGATGCCCACTACAGAGGTGAGAGAATCCTGCCTGCCAGAAGTTGTCAGGTCATTGACCTTGAGTGGAACTTTTCCAAAAAGATCCGGCTGGAGCCGTTAAAGGGCCAAAAGCCAGGGATTTCACTGGATTTAGAGGACAGGTGGCTGCAGGAATGCTTTGTGCCTATCTGTTCACATATGTGTGTTCAATGAAAGTCCGTGTACAGCAGCACAGCCCGTGACTAACTTGAGGTGTGTGGGATTAGCAAGCCTTTACCCAAACCTTCACCCACTCTTTGGTGGCTACTGCTCTCTATCAAACCTGAGAGCTGAGCATGACCCAATGCTTCTTGGCCTTTTGACTAAGACCAAGTGAAGAACTGAGCATGACTGCACTGGCCTAAGACTGTTCTCAACACATACATAACACATGGCTGCAGCCCTGGAGCCCACCCTCCCCAAGCTGTCAGGTGTCAGGAGTTGTCCAAGTCAGAACGCAGCCGTTATTATGACTGTAAAATATCTAAATGTGGATTTAAATACATTACATTGAAATCAACCATAAAAGGGGCTCAAAACTGACTCACTTCCTAATGCAGCTGCTCTGTTTCACTACAGTTGATGTCAGTTTCAGCGGTATGGTAGATGAACCACGCAACAGTGCTCTCCGGAGCATCTCTTTCCCGCTGTGAGGTCAGTTGTATCACCGTGGGTCTTGAAATTGGCTGCGGAGGAAACAGCCCCAGAAACTGGCAAATGCTGCCGATCAGGGTTCTGCTTTTCTCAGGGCTGGTTGTTAAACCAGAACTCCACTGGTACGGATGGCCTTGAATTCCTAGAGCAGACTTTGCTTCCTCCGAGACCTTCAATTACACCGGCATATATAAAAACCCACAACCTCCTTTTGCACAGAGGAACCACGCCACCACGCACACGTGCCGCCTGGGGCGACGGGACACACTCACTTTTGAAGCCGCTGGGTCCACTAGTCTCTGCCGATGTCGGGCTGAGTTGAAATGGCTCTTCGGAGGCTGCCCTTCCTGACAGTGAATGGAAGATGGGGTGTGAACAAGAGACGGGAAGGGGAGAAGGTGGGGCATGGGATGATGGGAAATGGTCAGAAAAGGGAGAGGGACAGCGTTTAACGGCACTGTACTTGTTTCTTTCAGCTGATAACAACAATAAAAACACGACGTTTTCCCCCACAGAAGCACATGCCACATTCAAGTCCTGAGTTCTTTTGTTAAAAACGGCCTTATATATACACGCGAGTAATAAGGTTATGAACACAGCCCAGCATCCAGACATTTCCCATCAAACCTTCATCCTTCCCTTATCTGATACTGTCCCTCATTATATTTTAAGGATACAAGGAGAACTGGAACCCGGTTTCCCTGAACATGAAATCGATCTTCCTGGAACAGCAAAAGGCATTAAAGGAGCACCCTTAAGAGTTAGAGTTGGCACCCATGATTCACCAAAATGACACAGGAATCATAGTCTTCCTCAAAAACATGAAACATCTCCCATCTCTCTGCATCATTCTGGCAGAATTCCTGGTGCCTGGCAGCCACCAAAATTTCTGTCCCTGAATGCACTTACATTTTACTGGCCCCAATAGAGACCAAACATTAAGTTAATAATTTAATCTATGTAGAAGGGTGGTCTCTCCTTTGACCAGTCTTATAACGCTCCTGTATATATAGAGGACACACGGATCCCACAGAAAGACTTAACACTTCCCCACTGCTTATTCCATGCCAAACACATACACCAAATAAAAATTCCAAGAAATTATATTTTAGAGGGCAAATTTAGAATAAGGGTCCACATAAATCATACAGAGTTTTGCTTCTCCATTCTCTCAAGAATTTAAGAAGCAAACATGATTGATCCACTGTAAGCATCAACTTCAGTGATGGGGAGATGAAAGCAACAGAGAGAAGGTCTCAAAGTGAGAGACACAGGGAGCAGAAGTGTTAGTGTCAGCTCAGCTCTGTTCACAGAGCAGAGCACAAGGCCTTCTACTTAAGTGAGAATGCAGTGTCTCTATTATAATACTTCAGAATTCTTTTTCTTCTAGGAATAACAGCTCTATTACTTTTAACATGTGGATCAATCACATCCACTTGGAATGCCCACAACTACTACTTCAGTGTCCAAAGTATAATGCTTACCTTTCAAAAAGGAAATGTCATTAAGTAGCAGACCGCAAGTCAGAATTATGTTTTTCCTAGTAACTGCTCTGCCAACATGCATTCTTTCCCTACTCTCTTCTGAAAGAATCCAAGGAAATAGTTTTAAATCTCAGCTGACCTAGAAAATGTACCAGAGTTTTAACAGCAAAAATGATGCTCAATAATGCATTGAATATTTGACAAAACAAAAACAAAAAACTGAGTATGACTTCTCACTCAAAAAAATCAATAGTTTTGCAGGAGAAATAGCTTTATGATTTTTTTTAAAAGATTTTACTTATTTGAGAGCGAGCTAGAGAGAAAGGGGGAAAGAGCATGGGGTGGGGTCAGAGGGAAAGGAAGAAGCAGGCTCCCCGCTGAGCAGAGAGCCTTACCACACAGGACCCAATCCTGGGACCCTGGGATCATGACCGAGCCAAAGGCACAAGCTTAATGGACTGAGCCACCCAGGTACCCCTACTCTTTGTTTTTTAAGTCACGAGATTATTTATTTAGCTGGATTTGAAAAGTCTCCTTTAAATTTAATGGCTTATAAAAAAGTGGTTTTAAGGTTTTTTTCTTCCTAAAAAAAAGTCATTTGATAGAAACAAACAAATAGCCTCATTAATATATCTGGAGATCTATCTGCCCTTATTAACCTCCCTGTGAAATGATTACAACTGATTTAAGAGTTCCAATGCACAGTGCCAGGCTTCCACTTATGAGGAAAAAAATTAATCCTGGCGTTAAATATACAATTACAGTCAATGTGCAAATTAACTAAATCCTAGGCCTGCGGTTTATTGCTCTTCTTCTCACTGCAAGGTGAAAATGTTGTTTTTTTGTTTTGTTGTTTTTTTTTTTAATTAGCTAATTGCACCATGAACTCAGCAGGGGGCAGATGTTGATAATAAAACTAGAATCTGAATCTTAAACTCCCTCCCCTGTGGAAGGCCAGTTGAAAGAGAGTAAGCACATCCTTCCAGGAGGGGGGTGGTAGGGAAGACAGGTTTTTGAAGCCTGGTTTCCATTTTATCTCATTTATCATCAAGTACAATGGATCAGTGACAATGGTCTGCTTGCAGTGAACAAATACGTGTATGAAATAATCAATACATTTATACAGATTCTAGTAATACATCTTAATAGAAACCAAAGAACAGTCTGGAGGATTGATGTCATTTTAATGAATTCCATATGGAGAGAAAATAAAGGAATTGTGAACAGCTCACACCAAGTTTTTCCTTCCTATGACTCATATCTTAAAACTAATCTTAATTTTCAATAGAATAGTCGCATTGTATTCTACCACTGGGTGGGGGGGAGGTAGTCATGGTCAGTTACTCACATACTCTGGAATCAGTTGGATACGGAGGCTTTGTGGAAAGACATACATAGCTAGGTACTGGTTAAAACTTTTGAGGAGAATTTAACGCATTAGAAGCTAGAAACGTCTGCTTCTTCACTTTAGGGAGACCTTCATTTAAAAGTGTGTTCTTTTCTTTTTCCAGCCTTGTTATCGGCCAGATGTCCTGATACAACCAGGGGAAGTACAAACAACGCACCGTGGAGCACAAGCAGTTGTATAAAGTCAATTATGAAATACTTGACATTTTTAAAAAAGCAAACAGGGCTCTTATTAACGGTAATGCAGGAAACCAACATCTTATAGAAAAAAAAAATTGTACATACAGTTTTCCCTGCTCAAGAAAAACAGGGAATTATATCATTCAGGCTAACGTTAAAGACAGAATATGTGACTTCATTTTCTTTTCCCAAACTTTTAATCCCAAGAAGCTATTTTTCCTCTGAAATGACAGCCTTTAGACTCTGGTATCTGTCATTCCAGACTGAGACATCAGTCTCCCGGTAGCATTTACCTCCTGGCTAATTCCATCAACATCAGCAAAATAACAGATTGGACCTGGGTGGCTCAGGGGGCTCTCCACGGAGCAGCTTATTTGCATATGTAAATAGGGGCTCTTTACCACCGGGAAGGAGCAGGAGAAAGAGGGGCGGGAAGCTTCACCATCAGTTTTGTGGAAACAGAAGTACATTACACTGCTCAGGTTAATTTAACCAAAATCCTTTTGCTGTGATAACCACCACTAATAAAAGGAGTGGCCCTGGGTTATGTAAATAAACTATTAAAAAATAACAAAGGAAGTACTGACATGTGCATCATCTGGAAACTTAATGAGACATATTTCATCTCCGTGCTAAATGCTTTCATCAAGTCTTCTCCTGTTAAGTCATTTTAGAAATTATAAACATCCCTTAGCACTGCAGATCGTACTTTTTAAAGAAATTATTGTTCCTTAAACATTACAGATCCGATAGCATCGTACTTTAGCCTAATTTGCACCATACAAATGAATACTCTGTGGAAAACAATTTATCAGGCATGAAATAATGGGTGTCCGGTGAATTTAGTGGCTGGCATCTGACTGCTAAAGTAACTAGTTCTTTACGTCATGTATAAGGTACTCTATCTCAAAACTAGAGCCACAAGAAAAGTTTTAAACCCAGTGTATTTGTAAGTTTGGCATTAATCCCATTATTGTAAAAAAAAAAAAAAACTATCATTGGACATTTCCAGCCTAGATTTTTTTTTTTTAAGATTTTATTTATTTATTTGACAGAGATCACAAGTAAGCAGAGAGGCAGGCAGAGAGAGAGAGAGAGAGAGGAGGAAGCAGGCTCCCTGCAATCCCAGGACCCTGGGATCATAACCCAAGCCAAAGGCAGAGCCTTTAACGCCCTGAGCCACCCAGGCAACCCCCAGCCTAGATATTTTTATATAAGATAACAACCAAAATAAACATAATGCTTTCACGGGCTCCAGACAACTTCTTAAAAGTCCATTCAAAACAATTTTAACTCTGGAAAAAATCACATGCATTATCAGGTAATGAAAATTTTCTCAGCTAATAAAAATTCTCAGGTAATGAAGAGACATCCTTCTGTCTGTGATGAGTGTATTTGACTCCCAAGTGAAGCTCTTCCTAAACACTTGAGTAAAATACAACAACGCCCCTGCAAAAAGTCACTAGTAAAGGAGCCCCTTCATGTCTATCAAGCAATCCAGGACCACACAAAGTCAAGAAACTTCCTGAAAACAGACTGATTCAAAGAATCCCCAAGCTAGGAAGATTTAACAATTACCAAGCATATCAAAATAAGGATCAAAAACCCAAATGAACATGCAAGAAATGTGCCATTTAGAAGTGAGAGCACATTTTCGATGAGGACATGGTACAATTGTAAAACCCGTGGAACTAATCCCTATATACTTTATAAAAACCTCCGTAAGTAATAACCTTGTAAAGATGAAAGTACATCATTTGTTTTTCTTTCAAACTTTTGGCTAGAGTTTAAGAGTCACCAAAATGGGGTAGTGGAAGGGATACTCTCACCTGGGAAAGCAAACCCTAACACCATGGCTAACTTTTGTCACCGCGATGCTCAGCGAGAAATGTATTTCCCATCATTCAACAACACAGGACGATACCGCCAGCAGTGTGCTCTATTTGCTCATCTAGTCTAGTTTCTTTTTAAACAAAGGCCCGTCTCTAGCTACCACATCTGAGGTATTTGACCTACAGTTCAAAACCACAGCAAGGAAGTGGTTCTTAGACTGTAAGACAGGGATCTCTAGACCCTGATGTTTTAAGTTGTGTCCCAAACTTCAATCATGCACTTAGTCATTTTCCCATATCCATGTATTTTTTCTATTACATCTACTATGTATGTTATTCTTTTAATTATTTTGAAAGACAGCTCCATTTTTTAAAAATAGAATACTTCAATTTTTAAGGATTGCGTAGATAATAATATCTTGATATCTTGGCTTTGTTGTTCCA